CTGAACATAATACTACACAAACATTAGATGTTGCCATGGTTTAATTGCACATAACATGTAAACATTCACAGTGCAGGGAGGAAAAAGTATGTGAACCATTGGACTTAATAACTGGTTGACCCTCCTTTGGCAGCAATAACCTCAACCAAACGTTTCCTGTAGTTGCAGATCAGACCTGCACAACGATCTGGAGTAATTTTGGACCACTCCTCTTCACAAAACTGCTTCAGTGTAGCAATATTCTTGGGATGTCTGTGTGTGAATCGCTCTCTTAAGGTCATGCCACAGCATTTCAATCGGGTTGAGGTCAGGACTCTGACTGGGCACTCCAGAAGGCGTATTCTGTGCTGTTTGCAGCCATTGTTTTGTTGAATTACTTGTATGCTTTGGGTCATTGTCCTGTTGCATCACCCATCCTCTGCGGGGCTTCAGTTGACGGACAGATGGTCGTACGTTTTCCTGCAAAATGTCTTGATAAACTCTGGAATTCATTTTCCCATCAATGACAACAATCCGTCCAGGCCCTGAGGCAGCAAAGCAGCCCCAAACCATGATGCTCCCTCCGCCATGTTTCACAGTGGGGATGAGGTTTTGATGTTGGTGTGCTGTGCCTTTTTTTCTCCACACATAGTGTTGTGTGTTCTTCCCAAACAACTCAATCTTGGTTTCATCTGTCCACAGTATATTTTGCCAGTAGTGCTGTGGAACATCCAGGTGCTCTTTTGCAAACTTCAAACGTGCTGCAATATTCTTTTTGGACAGCAATGGCTTCCTCCGTGGTGTCCTCCCATGTACTCCATTCTTGTTTTAATGTTTTCCTTATTGTAGATGTGTCAACAAAAATGTTAGCATGTGCCAGAGATTTCTGTAGGTCTTTAGCTGACACTCTGGGATTCTTCTTTACCTCATGCAGCATTCTGCGCTGTGCTCTTGCAGTCATTTTTACAGGACGACCACGCCTAGGGAGAGTAGCAACAGTGCTAAACCTTCTCCATTTGTAGACAGTCTGTCTTACCGTGGACACATGAACATCAAGGCTTTTGGAGATACTTTTGTAACCCTTTCCAGCTTTATGCAAGTCAACAATTCTTGATCGTAGGTCTTCTGAGAGCTCTTGTCTGCGAGGCATGGTTCACATCAGACAGTGCTTCTTGAAACCAGTAAACCCAAAACAGGTGTGTGTTTTTTAAGGGCAGGACAGCTGTCAGCAACACATCCAATATCATCACACTGATTGGAGTCAAGGTTGGCTCACTCCTGGCTCCAATTAGCTCTGGGAGAAGTCATTAAGCTAGGGCCTCACATACTTTTTCCTCCCTGCACTGTGAATGTTTACATGTTATGTGCAATTAAACCATGGCAACATGTAATGTTTGTGTATTATTATGTTCAGCAGACTGTGTTCTTCTATTGTTGTGACTTAGATGACGTTCAGAGCACATTTTATGCCCAATTCATGCAAAGCTCCACGTAATCCCCAAGGGGTTCACATACTTTTTCTTGCAACTGTGTGTGTGTATATATATATATATATATATTTATATATATATATATATATATATATATATATATAAATAAATAAAATGTCTGCAAACTTCCATGTGCGTGAACTCTAAAAGGTATTTTTCACAAGAAAAAAAAAAAATATCATTTCTCTCTATACTGTGGAAAAGTAAACAAAGTAAGGCTGGATGTTCTTGCTATCCCTCCTAGAAGCCTTTCCTCCTGGCAGTGGTGTTGTAGCCGAAAAAATGTTTGACGCTGGTAAATGCGTAATGCATTAAGGAGCGTTTAGCCACGTCAAGCATCGGGGGTAATTTGCCTCGTTGGCCATAATAATAATCATTATTCCAGCCATTGAGATGAATTAACGCTCAAGCACTAAACATGCTTATTTAGAGACAAGTGTCTCTAAAGTCCTGTAAACACCTATGTGTGCATGGACACCTAGGCTAACATGCAGGAGTGATTAGAGGCAGAAAAAAAAAAAAAAATGCCAGACGCCCCCAAGAGCATCATCCAAAATGTCGAGTGTACATGAGGCCTAATGCTGAAATTAAGAAACTGTACCGGAGTTCATCTTTACATCAGTTAACCACTTGCCATCCTGAGGATTTACCCCCCTTCCTGACCAGGCTTTTTTTGCGATATGGCTCTGCGTTACTTTAACTGACAATTGTGCGGTCATGCAACGCTGTACCCAATGAAATTTACGTCCTCTTTTTCCCATAAATAGAGCTTTCTTTCGGTGTTATTTGATCGCCTGTGCGTTTTTTTTAATTTTTTGCACTATAGAAAAAAAAAGACCGACAATTTTGAGAAAGAAAACAATATTTTTTACTTTTTGCTATTAAACGTGTCCAGTAAAAAAATTTAGAAAAATCAAATTTCATTATAAATCTAGGCCAAAATTTATTCTGCTACATGTCTTTCCTAAAAAAAAAAATCCCAATACGTGTAAATTTAATTGGTGTACATGAAAGTTATAGTGTTTACAAATGGTGTATATACTGAAATATTTTATTTTTATTTTTTTACTAGTAATGGTGACGATCAGCGACCTGTAGCTGGACTGCAGTGGGCATTCTGACACTGGGGGTTACTGACTTGGTGTCACTGACACCCCAGTGACACCAATACAGTGATCAGTGCTAATAAAAAGCACTGGCACAATACTAATGGTACTGGGCAGGAAGGGGCTAACATCTGGGCTGATCAAAGGGTTAACTGTGTCCTGTTATGGCTCTACTATGCAGAGCCATACAAAGCAATGTGCAGGAGCTGACAGGGGAGAGAACTGTAGTGTTTACATACAGTTCTCTCCCCCCCCCCCCTATTGGTATTACTCAGCGATCACCGGATGCCAGCGAGTAATCACCGTCCGGGGCCCGTGTCCTCACCCACACTCGAACCACACCCAAAAAAGCCTATGAAAGGTACCAGGGGCATCTCATGGGGCCCCCTACTGACCCCAAGCCCTCGGGCAATGCCCGAGTGTTCGAATGGTCAGTCCGCCCCTGGGGATGGCAGATATGGAACGGTTGGTAAGGTGGATGAGTCTGGCAGCAGCATTCATGATAGACTGAAGAGGGGATAGCCTGCGATGATTAATAGACGTATCTGCTGCATGTCGTCTGGGCATTCACATAAATGTTCATCTATTAAAAAAAAACCGATTACTTGATAGATGGACTGTTTCCAATCATCTGATCCCCATGTCATGTCTATGAACTCTGCAAATCCAGCAAGTCATACTATGTTGTATCTGCTGTGTTTCTGGATCTACCAATCCTTCCACCTTCCTTCTCTATAAATAAGCTTTTCCTTTGCTGGTTTCAGATCCTCCTCCTAGGGTCCCAATGGAAATTCCCAGCACTTGTGTAGGTTAGACTCAGGTCACCGAGGTTAATAGTCAAGAAGGGGAAGAACAACTTTTCAGATTGACATTTCCAAATTCTTGTAGCAAAGATCAAGACTTCCTAAAGCAGGTTATGTACTCAGCCTGGCAGGAGTGGGTGAAAGCTCGTGTGCTGAAGACAAACATTTGCATTGAGTATTTCCATGTTCTTTCTGCATACCTGCATTTCAAAACCGGTTATTTTACAAAAATCTGGAAGTCTCACCAAAGCTTTTTTTGTAATCCTAACTGCTGGAGCAGTATGTTTTTCGGTATTGTATAAACCCACATGGAAGAAAAATATATTTGAAATATATTTTAAAAATAATCTTCCCAAATATATGTGCTATATATTTGAAATGCTAAAATTGTGGCCGTATTCAATATATTTCAAAATACTTTTCAATAAATAAAAAAAAAAAAAAAAAAAATGTGTGTGTGTATATGTATATATATACATATATATATGTATGTATGTGTGTGTGTATATATATGTGTATGTGTGTATATATATATATATCTCTCTATGTATGTATATATATAGTGTATGTATGTGTGTGTGTATGTATGTATATATATATATACACACACACACACACACTGCATGTTGAAATGCGTTTTTATTACAAAATATATGAAAAATATTTTTAAAAATATATTTTTAAATATACTGTATGTCTTTAAAAGTACAAATCCACATTTTTGGAATACATTTACATATGTATGTAAAAATATATGTTAAAATGACTTTTTTATATGTTTAAAAAAAATCTGAAGAATATATTTTTAAAAATATTTTTTTAAATATATTCTTCACATTTTTTTAACATATAGAAAAGTAATGTTAACATATATATTTTTACATGTATTTGTAAATGCATTCCAAAAATGTAGTGGCTAACATTGTAGCATTTCAAATATATGGCAATATATTTGGGAAGAATATTTTTTAAATATATTTCAAATATATTTTTTTCTTCCATATGGGAATATAGAGCAGGGTTTCTCAACCAGGATCCTGAGGGTTCCTCCAGAGTTTTCTATGGGTTTCTCGGGCAATATGAGATTTATACTTCTCAGATGGGTAACCACTGACACCAATGATCTTGTTTTATCTATCTGTAAGGGGGTGATTTCTTCTCATTGACCACATATGTGAGGAATAATAGAAAAGAAGGAGTGCTCGATGTCCAAAAATAATGCACTTTTGTATTTAGAGTAATGACAAGTACATCAAACCAATGCGTTTCGGGAGAAAGGACTCTCCCTTCTTCAGGGCTGTTGCTGCATGCTATTAAATGGGAAACATTCCCATGTCGGTTTATATATTTTCCAGGTTTTGGAGAAAAAAATGACAGCGTGACTGCTGTAATTCAGGGGCAGCAATGAGCTATGGGTTCAAACTGAAACAAGTTTCCCTTGGCAGAAATGTCTATAGGCAAAAGTAGCTCCCTCTGTACATCAAAGGCAAAAATAAACAGTAATGGAAGTCCTGCTTTGTTAACGTGTTACTAAACCCCGGACCCTGCATTCATTATATCTGGTCTCCCCGGACCCTGCATTCACTGTATCTGGTTTCCCCGGACCCTGCATTCACTATATCTGCTCTCCCCGGACCCTGCATTCACTAAATCTGCTCTCCCCGGACCCTGCATTCACTGTATCTGCTCTCCCCGGACCCTGCATTCACTGTATCTGGTCTCCCCGGACCCTGCATTTACTGTATCTGGTCTCCCCGGACCCTGCATTCACTGTATCTGGTCTCCCCGGACCCTGCATTCACTGTATCTGGTCTCCCCGGACCCTGCATTCACTGTATCTGGTCTCCCGGACCCTGCATTCACTGTATCTGGTCTCCCCGGACCCTGCATTCACTGTATCTGGTCTCCCCGGACCCTGCATTCACTGTATCTGGTCTCCCCGGACCCTGCATTCACTGTATCTCTCCCCCCTGCATTCACTGCATTCACTGTATCTGCTCTGCTCTTTCCGGACCCTGCATTCACTGTATCTGCTCTTTCCGGACCCTGCATTCACTGTATCTGGTCTCCCCGGACCCTGCATTCACTGTATCTGGTCTCCCCGGACCCTGCATTCACTGTATCTGCTCTCCCCGGACCCTGCATTTACTGTATCTGCTCTCCCCGGACCCTGCATTCACTGTATCTGCTCTCCCCGGACCCTGCATTCACTGTCCCCGGACCCTGCATTCACTGTATCTGCTCTCCCCGGACCCTGCATTCACTGTATCTGCTCTCCCCGGACCCTGCATTCACTGTATCTGCTCTCCCGGACCCTGCATTCACTGTATCTGCTCTCCCCGGACCCTGCATTCACTGTATCTGCTCTCCCCGGACCCTGCATTCACTGTATCTGCTCTCCCCGGACCCTGCATTCACTGTATCTGCTCTCCCCGGACCCTGCATTCACTGTATCTGCTCTCCCCGGACCCTGCATTCACTGTATCTGCTCTCCCCGGACCCTGCATTCACTGTATCTGCTCTCCCCGGACCCTGCATTCACTGTATCTGCTCTCCCCGGACCCTGCATTCACTGTATCTGCTCTCCCCGGACCCTGCATTCACTGTATCTGCTCTCCCCGGACTCTGCATTCACTGTATCCGGTCTCTCCGGACCCTGCATTCACTGTATCTGGTCTCCCCGGACCCTGCATTCACTATATCCGCTCTCCCAGGACCCTGCATTCACTATATCTGGTCTCCCAGGACCCTGCATTCACTATATCTGGTCTCCCCGGACCCTGCATTCAGCAGTTAGAACAGTCTTGTGACTTCTTTCAGTGTCCAGTACAGCACTGGTTAAAGTTTGTAGGAGGAATTTTCTTTCTGCTCTAAGAGGATGAAAAACCCCTGACCCCTTTGTCTGGACAGTGCTGATTGGCCCTGTGCTGATCACATGCACTCTCCCAAGAAAAAAAAAAAACAACCTCTCTAGCAATACACACCAAACTGAGCATGTGAAGAGTGACTCCACATGATATGTCTTATCAGGAGATAAGAGGGGAGCACTGGAAGAAGGGGAGGATCAGAGAAGTCAGGATCAAACAGCCTTTTTACACCATGCAGAGGATTAACCCCTTAGGTTCCACAGTGAGTATAACAAGCATGCTTTACTGCATATACAGACTGATTGTACTGTTGTGGGTTTAGTAACACTTTAAAGGATGTGCTACTGATGGCTTGGTGCCGGATACCACAGCATACCTTCAGAGTTGTAGTGGAGTACATGCCTTGATGGGTCATGATGGGTGGTCATAATGTTGTAGCTGATCAGTGTATATTGTATATTATTTGTACCCCCCAAGAATGAAACATTAATAAGCGGATTATTAAAAGTCCATTTACATCTTGTGTGGCACATTTATCATACACACATTAAGACACGTTTTCATTATAGCCGCCTACTCACTTAAACTAGGCTGTCAAAGGTAAGCAACATACAGCTGGCTATGAATTAAAAAACAAACAAACTCATCTTTGGCCAGCTTAGCCACTTGCCCTATAGCAGAACTACTGCTACAGGGTGGCAGGTCTGTGCAAAATCACGTGTGTGTATGTGTATATATATATATGTGTGTGTGTGTGTGTGTGTGTGTGTGTGTGTATATATATATATATATATATATATATATATATATATATATATATACACACACATGATTTGCATTTCCGGGTAGGGTGCGGGAGCGCGCACCATCCTACCTGCACTGCTATTGGCGGCTAGAGATGTCAGTCAACAGGTCCTGGCCGACGTTTCCCGGCCACCACTCGGTGATCATCGGGGAGAGACCTGTGTGTAAACGACACAGGTCTCTCTCCTGCCAGGACATGCTTCTGTGTATTTCTTTGCACAGCAGAGAGATATAAAACAGCATGTCTCCCTAGTTAAACGCACACGGTTAACCCTTTGATCGCCCCAGATGTTAAGCCCTTCCTGCCCAGTGCAATTAGTACAGTGTCAGTGCTTTTTATTAGCACTAATCACTGTATTACTGTCAATATATATTGTTTTTTTTTTTTTTTTATAATTGTCGGTCTTTTTGTTTATAGCGCATAAAATAAAAACAGCAGAGGTGATCAAATACCACCAAAAGAAAGCTCTATTTGTGGGGAAAAAAGGAACACAAATTTCATTTGGGTGCAGCGTTGCATGACCGCGCAATTTAAAGCAACGCTGTGGCGTATCGCAAAAAATGGCCTGGTCAGGGGGTGGGGTAAATCCTCTGGAGGGCAAGGGGTTAGAATGTAAATCTGGCCCAAAGGAAGGTAACAGAGAGCCATTTTGCAGGAGACTGCAGCCCTAGCCAGAAATACTATGATAAGCTTGATAAATCTGTAACATAAATCATACGAGCGGACTTTGCATTGTTTCTTGATTTAGTATTCGCAGTTTGCTGATTGACTTGCTGCATCTTTTAAAATCCCTTTGATCTTCCATTTTATAGATCCCATAATTACATCGTATTAATCGTGGCTATTAACTGTACCTATCAGAGTCTGTCGTTGCTAATTTGATTTCCTTTAGCCTTCATTTATAATATCAAGGAAGGTAGGTCTATAGAGACTTTCCAATGTGCCGTTTCCATAACTTCTTGGCTGCAGGAGATGGGAAGGACATATAATCAATATCTGATGTAAAAGGCAGCGCGGGGTTCATGCGCATCTTGAAAATTCCTGAGGCATCAAACTATAAACTGTCTCTATCAGGAGATAGGCAGATCATGGACTAAAACATATTATCTGTGTAGCTTATTTCTCACTCGGCACTTTTCTTTTCTGTGTGTTCTGTAATTGTTTTATTCCTTAGTACTCTGAAAATCAATACATTTCCTTGGTTTGCTTTAATCCCTAGTCAACTTCAGTCTGTATATTAAAGCGGTATTAAACCCCCAGACCAAAAATATTCGAGTATGGGGTCTTGTGAGCTACTATGGTATATACAAAGTGCTAATGAATATTGAAATAATTAAATATTTTAAATATGAAATACTAAAATTAATGTGAAACCAATGCAATGGTGAAAATTATAGTTAAATTGTGTGTAAAAACTGAAGAAATGTGGTTCGCTTACACTCGACACATACTCATACCAATGTGTTATAGATAATACAGGCAAAAATAGTGTCGCGCTCCACTACCAATTGCAATAATAAAATTGTGAATGAATAAAAAGTAAAAATAAAATAAAAATCCAGCATCAAAAAATATATATCAATATCATTGCAATTCTATTACTGCTGCAAACATGTCCCTATTAAGTTTGTGACTTTGACTGTGATACAAAAAAAATAACCGCGCAGTCCATCAATCATAAAAAATATTATACACCTTCACCATTGGGCTCTCACCTGGTGTATATGACCAAACCGTTAAGTGAGGTCCCTTTAATTGGACTTAGTGGGATATGGGTAGGATTATCCCTCTTTCCTTGGGATGAATATTGAATATTATAATTACCGTATTTTTTGCCGTATAAGACGCACTTTTTCTTCCCCAAAACTGGGGGGGAAATGTCAGTGCGTCTTATGGAGCGAATATGGAGTGGCCGGTCCGGTATTTCCACCGCGGCCGTGTCAGAATACCGGGCCAGCCGCTCAGCTCTGCAGCGGGACCTTACCTGTTCCTCTATCCAGCGGCGTGCTGTCTTCCCGGCTTCTGTAGTGTGGGCACTGGGCATGAGAGCCGGGTGCCAAGTGCGCATGCGCAAGAAGGGGTGCTTTTTGTGAATGGTAAGGCGGTACCTGGGACACATGACAGATCCCAGAAGCCGCCGGACCAATCACAAAGCGCAAGTGCTTCTCGCTCATGCGCACTGGGTACCTGGCTGTCATGCCGAGCGCCATTACAGAAGCTGGGAAGACAGCGCGCGGCTGGATCGAGGAACAGGTAAGATCAAACAAAAACTCTGCGGAAGTAAGAGCGGGTACCTGTCAAATTCAGGTACCCGCTCCCCACCTCCCCAAAGGTCAGCAGTCATCTGTACTGTCCGCAGTCTCTGGTCATCCCTGTGCTGTCCGCAGTCTCTGGTCATCCCTGTGCTGTCCGCAGTCTCTGGTCATCCCTGTGCTGTCCGCAGTCTCTGGTCATCCCTGTGTTGTCCGCAGTCTCTGGTCATCCCTGTGCTGTCCGCAGTCTCTGGTCATCTCCTCTACTATGTCCGCAGTCTCTGGTCATCTCCTGTGCTGTGTCCGCAGTCTCTGGTCATCTCCTGTACTATGTCCGCAGTCTCTGGTCATCTCCTGTACTGTGTCCGCAGTCTCTGGTCATCTCCTGTACTGTGTCCGCAGTCTCTGGTCATCTCCTGTACTGTGTCTGCAGTCTCTGGTCATCTCCTGTACTGTGTCCGCAGTCTCTGGTCATCTCCTGTACTGTGTCCGCAGTCTCTGGTCATCTCCTGTACTGTGTCCGCAGTCTCTGGTCATCTCCTGTACTGTGTCCGCAGTCTCTGGTCATCTCCTGTACTGTGTCCGCAGTCTCTGGTCATCTCCTGTACTGTGTCTGCAGTCTCTGGTCATCTCCTGTAGTGTGTCCGCAGTCTCTGGTCATCTCCTGTACTATGTCTGCAGTCCATTAGTTCAGAATTTTTTTTTTCCTGTTTTCTGCCTCTAAAACCTAGGTGCGTCTCATGGTCAGGTGCGTCTTATATGGCGAAAAATACGGTAAATATATAATTGAATATTTTAAATATGACGTAATACTAAAATTAATGTGAAACCAATGCAATGGTGAAAATTATAGTTAAATTGTGTGTAAAAACTGAAGAAATGTGTTTCGCTTACACTCGACACATACTCATACCAATGTGTTATAGAGAATACAGGCAAAAATAGTGTCGCGCTCCACTACCAATTGCAATAATAAAATTGTGAATGAATAAAAAGTAAAAATAAAATAAATAAAAATCCAGCATCAAAAAATATATATCAATATCATTGCAATTCTATTACTGCTGCAAACATGTCCCTATTAAGTTTGTGACTTTGACTGTGATACAAAAAAATATAACCGTGCAGTCCACCAATCATAAAAAATATTATACACCTTCACCGGTTGTGCTCTCGCCTGGTGTATATGACCAAACCGTTAAGTGAGGTCCCTTTAATTGGACTTGGTGGTATATGGGTAGGATTATCCCTCTTTCCTTGGGATGGATGAATGAATTCCCGCTGATGAAGCCACGTGACCCAGTGGCGTAACACGTAGGGGAGGGGCTCTGACACAACGCAATATACACCAAGTATTCAGCAACATTGCAAAACTATACTGTGGATTCAAATTTCAACATTTTAATGTGTTTTAACTTGTTACACATGTGAGTGCACCACTTTATTAAATAAATTAATTTTAAAGAGGATAAGGCACTATATACTTTTATTACATTTCATGGCTATTACACCTATGGAGAGAAATCCCTAAGGAAGCAAGGAGACCCCTTAGTGGGAAGAGGGATATTTCCATCCATCCATTTGGCTCCAGGACCCCCTGCTGGAAAGAGGGAACACTCCGTTCATCCATCCATCCATCTATCCATCCCAGGGAAAGAGGGATAATCCTACCCATATACCACTAAGTCCAATTAAAGGGACACCAGCTTTTTATGACCTCACTTAACGGTTTGGTCATATACACAAGGTGAGAGCACAACCGGTGATGCAGTGATATTGATATATATTTTTTGATGCTGGACTTTTATTTCTTTTATTTTTACTTTTTCTTAATTCACAATTTTATTATTGCAATTGGTAGTGGAGTGCGACACTGTTTTTGACTGTATTAAAAAATTTAATATATTGCAGCTTACCAATCAGTAGATATAGTGGCTGCATTAGTTTTCTTTTTTAGGCTTTTACCACTAACGCCCCTCCTGTATTAAAGTACCCCCCACTCTGGATGAAGGAGCACAGGGGGCACCTTTGGACAGCAGCATTGTCAGTCTGGGGGGGGGAGGGGAGTGTTATATGTACAAACAGATTTAGATACACTAACAAATTGAAGCCAAA